GCTTTTAGCAACATTGCAAATTTCCTCAAGGGATTTGCAAGGGAGCTTTTTAAATTGCAAAAGTAATGAGGAAAATTGCAATCAATTTAGAAACTCAAAAGAGGAACGCTTCACGTAGTTTGCCTGTAAATATTCTGAATACGATTAAGGTTACATGAGAAACACTTAAATATACGGCATATTAATAAGAAGTCATTTTACATACCCACAGGAATAGCAGCTGTAATGCCATGGATGCACTGGTTCCCCCATATACATGATATGCTCTCCTTCTGGGATATACGTGCTTAAAAAGAAAAGAAAGCACGAGTCAAATTAGTACATCTGATTGAAGTACTAGTTTGCCGAGTTGCACCAATGAACTCACTTAAGTACAGGAAGAGTCAAATAACGCTGTACAGAACGTCGTACTGAGCGTATAGGACTTCCACGGATATTTTTTACAGTAGAATATCTACTCCACTATTTTTATCATTTTAGTCTTGACTGAATATTAAAAGTTGAAAGAATAACAAAGATTGATGGAATAGCAAACTCTAGTTACTGTCTATAGCTACTTTGTTCTAAGCGCTACTAAATAATGTACATGCAAAAATTTCTCAATTCTGATTGGCTAAGATTGCATTTCTTTCGAAATAAGTGCATACAATGAAATACAGCGCCAAGAAATGAAATGAAATGCAATGCAAATTTCATCTAGTATAAGATACAGGCATTTCTAGCGGAAAATAATACAAAAAATCCAAACATTTACAAGTGACAAAAATGGCTGGCGTATTTAGTAGATTTTCTATTAAAATTATTTATGTTAAAATTAACTATTTCGCATGTGACCTACGCAAACACTTTTATCGTCTTTGAAAAACTTACTCGTGCATGTTTTTCCCAAATTGCCTATACAATCAGGGAATCAATGAATTATCAGGGACACTTCCAAGTAATCATCAGTACTATATACTGTACTAGTGAACATTTATACTGTATATACACATAAACTACGTCATGCACACTGGAGCAACTATAACATGCATATATACTGTAAGAGTTTACAATCCTCTTAGTCACAGCATGCTGTGGAAAAATGGAGGGGAAATGACTGCTAAAATAGATACAGAAAAATTGCTCAAAGTTGGCAATTTTACTGCATCTTCTTTATGACACTGAAGAAGTTCAGTAAAACTAGCAAACTTCATCCCATCGTAATTTCCTTAATCTAATCTGCCAGAGCTTCGTGAAGACAATATATTTACAGTCCCTCGAATAGTGCAGGTGTTGTCATGCAAACACACAGTACAGTATATGCAAACATCCTCATCTCCAGAGCCTAGGAGACGCGTGCGAATTTCGTAGACCCTGGGATACACGGAACAGGAAGTAGTAACCAGTGTTGTAACGAGTCACCTACAGGTCGAGTCACGAGTCGAGTTGAGTCACTCAAACGTCGAGTCACGAGTCGAAGTCATTTCAGTTTCTGATCGAGTCGAGTCAGTGGCTTCACTTGAGTCGAGTCGAGTCAGCGGCTTCACTCGAGTCAAGTCGAGTCACTGGTTTAAGTCGAGTCGAGTCAATAGCTAAACTTGACATGAGTCAGGGAATTTGATCAAGTCCACCCCACGCTTTCTTTAATGGCTCGCGACCCTAGCTTGCAGTCTGAAATTAGTAATCAAATTTACCGTTTAAGCCAATTACTTTAGTCATTTAATAACAGTATCTGGCCAGCTAGGCTGTATCAATATCACAGTTCTAGTCAATATTAAGTACGACCACATAGCAACCGGAGTCAGAATCAACAAAGAATAGACTTTAATTAATCACGGATAAATAATTACTTCATAATTACTTATTTAATTACTCTAATCACGGATTAATAGCACTTCATAAATATCAAAAATGAAAAGAGCCGGTCAAAATTAGTATGAGTACACAAAATTTTGAGACTCCGTTTTAAAAACGGTGGCACTAGCGTTGTTTCTAAAAACAGAAATGTAATAGGCATGCCCGTCAGCGATATATTCTATGCAAATCTCCATATATTTTCTGATAAAGTTTCGAAATTCTCATTGTTCACAGTACTCATTGTTCTTCCCATGCAATACAATCACAATAATTTTGACAAATTTATTCTGTACACGTAACGTTGTAGCCGAGTTGAATCGAGTCATTTACGGCAAATAGCGAGTCGAGTCATTTGGGGCTGTTGACTGGAGTCGAGTCATTTTTCGTATTGGACGCAAGTCGAGTCTCTAAAAATAGCAACTGGGAAGTACAAGAAAACTTGCAATAGGTTTCTAATGCACATGCTTGTAAATTCATAGCGCTTTCTCAAAGCTGGGTGGAGAAACAGAATTATTACGAAAAAAACGAAGAATTTGACTTATTTTGACAGAGTACAAGAATGTTCTTATGGTTAACATTTCTATAGCGCATGCAAACTGACATGTGGATATATATGATCAAATGCGCTTCACAACAAGTATTACGCTTTCCTAATTACATACAGATACTGAGCCTAGGCAATTTATCTTTATAACAATTGTGATATTACTTTCTTAACTGTGTTTATCCTAAGCCACCCTGTCACCTTTCCCTGTGGGAGAGCACCGAAGCACCCGGAGAAACCGACGAGTTTCAGCAGAACGTTGACTGACTCTTTCCACATAGCGAGAATCGTACCCACGAAGTCAGAGATGAAAGGCCTTTCCTCTGACAATGTTATACTGTACCAGTTTGGTTATTCGCGAATACTCTGGGTCGGATGGGACTGGAACCTAACCCGTGCATGCGTCAAAATTAAATGTCGAAGGAAAAAATAGAGGGAGTTTATACGACTATAGGCTGGCTGGTATTGTAAAAATGAAAATATGAAACTAGTTTTTCGTATCTCTGAGGATGGTTCTGAAATAGAATTGAAACACTGCGCGCCCTCTAAGACAAGCGTTAAGTCGTCACGAAAATATTTGGTGCACTTAAATTGGACAATCCCTGTTGACTCGATAGCTCAATAGGTAGAGCGGCGGTCTAGGTACCCGAAGATGCGAGTTCAAATCCCGCTCGAGCCAACGAATTTTTCGTTGCTCGATTGCAGTGTCAGATTAATATCAGTACAGTACAGTACAGTACAGTACACTACACTACACTACAGTACAGTATATAACATAAAATAAAACCATCTATTGTAAGCAGTTTTATAGTAGTGATAATACAGTAGTACTTACTGGCATTTTCTACACACATATCGTCCAGTGCCTAAACAAACAAATCAAACTAATTTCAGTATTATAATTATAAAATACTTTCTAGTCTATTAATAATACTGCATCAAGTCAATAGGGCCATTTATACGAGCGAAAATAAGTCGCGGCCTAAATAAGCCGCGGCTTAAATAAGTCGCGAACAACTCGTATAAACAGTCAATTTCCAATAAGCCGCGGCTTATTTAGGCCTAGCTTTCAACTCTGGGCTTATTTTAGCCGCGGCTTATTGCAAATTGACTGTTTATACGAATCGTTCGCGACTTATTTAAGCCGCGGCTTATTTAGGCCGCGGCTCATTTTTGCTCGTATAAATGGCCCTAATGTCAACTAATCCAGGACTTCCAACTATACCGCTTTATAAATTTTCCCATTCCAAGTACTACTGCTTTCCAGGGTGTGAATTAAGATTTTTTCTGGCCTAGAATTATTCTCAAATTTCAATTTTGACTTACAATTGTAATGTGATGAAAGATATTTTGAACTGTTACTAAATAACAGTAATATTGAATCCATGTATCCCTTGCCGAACTGGATTCCCATTGTGTTGGCCGAGTGCGATTCCCAATGTGTATAGGATACGAGATTCTCATTTGTAATTATACAAGGCGCTAATTTTTTGGCCTACAAACTGGGATTTTTTAATGACAATTTGTTATTCGTAACTCTGTTTTCACATGGTAATCTAGGGCAAATCTTCTCTGGGGGCCCCATGACATCATTATTTTTAAGGTAGACCCAAGTCAGTCACCCACTGTAAGGGGCCCTAAATTTCGAAAATGCTCTGATCAATTTAAAGATCTTACTCAATTTTAGGCTACTCAATTTTAGAACCTACTCAATTTGGGCCCTATTAAGGTGGGGGCCCGGGGAAATCCCCCCCCCCCCTTTCGGCGACCCTAATCTCATAGCCATTTCAGTTTTGGAAGAACATTGTTGCGGATCAGCGACATATACAGTATGTGTGACCATACCAGTGCAAACGTCGCTTGTGCATGTCAGAAAATATATATCAGCCTTAAAACTACTAGCAGGTAAACAAATACGATTACAGTTAGTATAACAATAATAATCACAAAACTATGTCTTACGTTTAGTCTTCTCATCCGCGTTGCACTTTTTGCACAGAGCTCTGGTGAAGACAAACAAACATAATAAACACCAATGATACAAAGATACACAAACATGAAAAGGGTTCAAGAAAATATTGAACAAAACAGGTGTCGGTGTCGGAGTGCAATTAGAGAGGTTTAGCAAAGACGACGCGAGGTCAAAGACGACGTGAAAATAGCGAAAAAATGGCGTGGGCAGATCCATAGATGGGCACATCACGCCATTTTTACGCCAATTTCACGTCGTCTTTGACGTCGCGTCGTCTTTACTAAACCTCTCTTATATTAGCTTTTCTCGTGCCAAGCGACAGGGTTTGTCCGCCATGTTTGGGTGGAAAACCGCACAGTGAAAATAAACGGCAACAAGCAAAGGAGTTAAGGAAGTAATAGAGAGTTAACGATTCACGACGCGGTCAGCTCGACGACGCGCTTGCAAAACAAAGAAATACGTCATGCAAGACAAAAGGGATGTATAGTTTGTAGTCTCAAACGTTTCGTCAACAGCGTTGCCATTCTTAGGACACCGTCAAACGAGTAATTTTCACGTCCTCCGACCGATATCAAAGCTCGTTGCGAAATGGGAGCTGTTTTATAACGTTTATAGAATGGCAACATCAGCTAAACATCGGAGTATTTTAGGTCAATTTAAACATTTTTGAGATTATTAAAACATGCCTTAGACAATTAAAGCACTATTAATAGTTAAATTCCAGTGGCTTATTTCAAGCATAAATTGGCGCGACGTCGTCGAGCTGACCGCGTCGTAGATCGTAAACTCACTATTAACACAGTACTACTCTGCTACCCCACCCACACCGCGGCGGTGAAGATTGTGAGTATCAGGATGGCACAATTATTCATACAGGTATAAATACTAGTTACTTCACTAAAAGAACTCGTTTACTTCTTGTCATCCTTTATTGCTGCGCAGTTTGTGACAAGGCGCCTCGTCCTAAGACGGAGTGCATCAGTACAGTATGTGTTCCAACAGCTTGTTTCCAGCTGTGATAAATCTGGAACAAGTTGTTATCACCTTCTTACAAAGTTGATGATGGTAACAGACTAGCACAGGCTGTTCGTAACAAGTTGCCACAAGCTTGTTGTCTTCAAGTAGTTAAGAACTTGTTACGTAAAGACGATATCATGCTTGTTAGAAAAACTTGATCCAGATCTGTCAACAACTGGGAAAAAGCAGTGCGAACACAGTGTTGCAGTGTTGACAAGCCGTGAGATTTTTACAGATACACCTGTAAACCATTATGACCCTATACACTGAACCCCAAAATGAAATGAACCCCACATTAGAAAACTCGCCCTTACCGCCCAGCGTTCTTAATAAAGCCACTTTCAGCAAGACCATCGTTACAAATTTCACAGCGGAAACATTCAGGATGCCAACTGGCTTGCATAGCACGAATGACACGGCCAATGATAAACTCACCTGCAAAAATAATAAGCAATTATTGGATGAGGCTGAGCATGATATCAAGAATTATTCAGACCGAGGTTAATGTTATCTGCCGAAGCGAAGCTGAGGCGGATAACATAGACCGAGGTCTGAATAATTCTTGATATCGTGCGAAAGCCGAATCCAATAATTGTTTTATTATACATTTAAAGACATGAGAAACGTATAAAACGATTCCTGTTCATGAGGTAGGAAAAGTACAATTTGAATATCAAACACCTTGCACAAAGTCAAAGGTCAGCTAAATATTATATTTCTACTTCTATTTACCCCTTTGCGGCTTTTTTCGTGCTTTCACTATCCTTATCTGCCAATAATTTGGAGAGTTCACTTTCATTCAGCGAAGCAAATCTGCTGTCGGCCATTGTTTGTTTGTTTTCCCGCGCTTATAGGTTCAAGCTTTTGGCCGCGCAAGGGTTTGGGCACGAGAGAGTCCAATAATTTTTTTTTTGGATGCAAGTTCGATCCAAAAAAACAATTATTGGACGCCGATGACGTCATCGGCGGAAAATACGTAATAAATGCCGATTACTGAAAATTAGCCGGTGCTTTCTGACCAATTAGAAACGAGAATACATATTAAATGTATAATAATACGTTTTGTCTTAGTTCTAGAAAAAAAAACTCTGCCAGTATTGGCAGCGGTCTGTGCCAGTATAGGTACTGTAATGGCAATAATAACGAGCTTGGTAGGGATGCAGCTGCCTGTCACTCTGTATTTTTCAGTTAGTCGCATCCTTACGTGTATTTATCAACGAAAGCTTAGTATTGGCAGCGCCTATATTACTGTACTGTGCCAATTAGCTTTCAAAAGAAGGGTTGATTAAAACGTCCAGGTTAACATAATTAAGCAGGTTTTCCACTGGCAGGGTGCCATAATTCGCTTACTTACGTACTAGAGGTACGCCAATATTATGGTCTGGTACTTCTGTCTTTTATTATGCAATATTATGGTCTGGTACTTCAGTCACGTACTATGTAGTTACTGTACATGGTTCTCTTGTTATCAGCGTACTTAGCTTTTTACTTCTACCATCTGACCTTTCCAAGAACGAGTTATTCAAAACCATAATTTACTGTAGTTGGAATTTGTGCAAGTCTAGCATATCTTGGTATTAAACGTGATTGGAATGATATGATGAGACAGGACTAAGGAATGTTAATAGAGTCGATCGTAGTGTTTGTGTATCTATAGCTACTACAGCTGTAATAGATTTAGGTTTCTGAATGAATATCTTTCGGAAACCTGTACATTATGTACTCAAGTACGCCGCAATAATCATTGGAGTACCAGTCAGGTACGACTAAAAAAGATTTGAATTATCGCACCCATTTTGCCTTTGTCGGCATCGCTTATCACAATATCACATCGGCAGAAATATTGTCAGTATAAGTAAGGCCAAAAAAAAATATGTGGGTTTCCGGTTTCTTCTTATAAAAACTTAGGTAGGGTAGGTCGGTTTTAACTTCTTTTTAAACTTCTTTTTTCCAGTTAATTTTCCGAACAAGCGGACGCCATTTTGTTTAGTCAGTGCTTCCACATCCAAAGATAAATTTCCCCAATATTGCCTCAAATTTCAATTTTCCACAAACTTCCTCTAAGTGGAAACACTTACAAGCATGATCCAATAAAAAGGTTTAGGGTCGGGATTTCGACGTCCAAAAGCTAGGTAGGGTCGGGAAACCGGAAACCCACATATTTTTTTTGGCCTAAGAACAATCGGAACAATTACGGAAGTGAATAGAGTGAGGGGGCTTCGGTGGAGCAGTCGTCAGAACAAGCGCCTTTCACCTCTGAGATCGTGGGTTTGATTCTTGCTATGGAATCATGTGAAAAGAGTCTGTCAACGCTCTGCCGAAAGTAGTGGGTTTTCTCCGGGCGCTCTGGTTTCCAACAAGGGAAGTCGACAGAGTGCGTTAGGATAAACACAGTTAAGAAAGTAATATTTTATATCACAATGGTTGTAAAGATAAATAGTCTAAGCTAAGTAAGTAACAAATGTAAGCGTACTAATTGATGTAATCGGTCACTGAAAAGCCCCAATGGGCAGTGAACTGTGAACTATAATGTAATGTGACTTAGTCCATAAATAAGGTGGGCATACTATACTTAAGTTTAAGGCAGTAAGACCGCTTTTTAAGAGCAAACATTCACATATATACAGTACTACAGTAGCTAACAAACTTCTAATACTGTAGTACATCACTGAAACAAAAGATTCGCAATACATAATGTAATACATACCACATTCTTTGCAGCAAGGAGCGAACAATGTTTGAAAATCATGTTCACAATATCTGCGGCCATCAAACTGAAAATTAAAATATCAAACACATACTCAAAAGTAGAGACAGTCGTGACTCGTGTTTTAACATAAAATATGGTGAGTGGCTGAATGCACATCATTATTCGTTACTAGCCCTTAGTAACATAAAGAAGAATTGTGTTGAAACATGTAGAAAAGCCACTGTACGAAAGATCTTTACCTTTCCAATGATACAAGTGCAACCAGAAACGTCTAAATACAGTTTTACCAAAAAGCGCAGGTCGAAAACAAACATGACTAATTGAAATCTGTAGGGATTGACCGATAATCGGAATCGGGCCGATTTTTGCCTTATCGATAAACATTCGGAATCGGTAGAATGATCTATATTTCCCATTGTCTAAAACCGATTGTTGAGAAAATACGCACTTTAAAAACTATATGCATACGTTGATACACGTTGTATTTTAAAGCAATATGTTAAATTAATGCGTGAAGCGTGTCATTTATCATTGCAGTAACATGTTACGTTGGAAATTATCGTTAAAAAATCGAGATGAACGACGTCACCTTACTCGGTCGACTGATATTATGACGTCTTTATAAAATCCGTAACGTCGATCATTTCCGATTGCTTGCTCAATCAGTCAATGACTAGAAAGCTGTACAGTAGAGTAGAGTATATACAGTACAGTATATGTACATGATAAAAAGACTAAACATGTGTAAAATCTGATTTCTAAATCTTACACTGACATTATAAATAAATGCTGTTTTGCCAAGCACGAAGAAAGCTACAAAGTTTTGTCTAACAGCGTGTAGAGGCATTCTTCAATACTATGTCTGATTTTTTTCTGTGTTGGTGCAATGTACTCAGGTGAATATGATGCTTGTGATTGATGTTACTCTGAGTGTATATCAACACCGGGCGAGCTTGAAAAATATGCCCGGCCACGGTGGGATTCGAACCTACGACCTTTGGAATACTAGCCCAATGCTCTGCCAACTGAGCTACGCGGTCAGGTCGGTTCGAGTATGTGATATTTCGGAACAGAATCTAGTTCCTTCGATATCACGGTAATCTAATAAATAAATCATGATTTTTTTTCTGTGTTGGTGTAATTATACTATATCTATTGAGTAAAATTACTGAATGTATAATCAGGGTTCAAAATAATGGCAATGGACAATGGCCGGCCAAAAATGCCTCTTGACCGGTCACTTTTTTACCTCACCGGTCATTTTAACTGGCCACATTTTCATGCCTTCCTACGTGATTTCTGACGTCTTGAATTAAAACATCAAACTATGATGTATCGAAACAAGTTTTTAATAGTTTGTTACACTGTTAGTGTAAGCATATCAATGACTTGTCAAAAACAGAGTTTAACCAAGCTAAAATCAAGTTGACCGGTCATTTTGACTGGAGACCTATCTCCCATTATTTTGAGCCCTGTATAATTGTTAATCATATACATGTAACAGCCAATTAAAGTTACACTATAACCTTTTTTTATACAGTATAAAAACATGCAATACTAGGTACAGTAATAATGGTGCAGATTAAAATACAGAATTTGAAAACACTTTACCTCATAGAACAGTCCATCAGGAAATGTTTGAAAACATTGTACACAACTAAAAATTTGTTAAAATTAGACCCATTATACAAAGTAGAAACATGTGATTGGAAGAAAGTTAGCTAGGGTAGGGGTTGCAATTTTTAATACTTTTAGTCGCGTAAGGCCAAGTGGCTAGCAATAAGATGTGGTTGCCAAATTTAGTATGAAGGTCGCCCTATGTCAATATGTATATGACGTATTTTCATTGTATATACAGTAGATAACAAAAGAAACAGTTGTTTAACCCATAAAGACATAAAGCACCATCGCGCACCCAAGTGAAATTCTCTAGCATTAAGACAGAGTAAAATAATCTGGCATTAGACAGAGTAAAATAATAAAGTAGGGCCCAATGCAACATGTAAACTCATTAAGCACCAGCATATGCTCTCCTCTTGATGAGTAAAATCGTCTGGCATTAGGCCTAAAAAAAGACTTTTGAGAGTTACAGTACTTTATTAAGTTAATTCTTTTCTCAGTTACCATGACAGCTATCAATTGAATGGCAAATATCTGGTTGCCAGAAGAAAATTTTACACCAACACACCAACACAGAAAAATATCTGGTTGCCAGAAGAAAATTTTGGTTGCAATTTGCGACCTGGCGCCTGCCTATTTCAACCCCTGGTTACAGGGGCAGGGAACCAGGAGTGGGTACCATTAGATGAAAAATTCTCAATTTTGACAGGCTATAACTGTAAGCGAGTCTAAGATTAATACAAGCTATGCCAAAACTGCAATTCAGTAGCTAGCCCACGTGCAGACCCAAGGGAACTGATAGTGGGCCTGCAAGCAAGGCCCGGTATTTTGTACTTTCCGCGTTCGCCCACGAACGCAGCATTCTGATTGGCTGTTTGCTGTTGGATTCTATAATTAGATCAGTGATTCATCACAAAGGCTCTCGATAAGCTTAAAATTCGAAAATTGATCACTTTTTTCAATTAAAAATGGAACAAGAACAGACTGTTCATTGTTTACTTGAAGGAATAGATGTTTTTGCCGTTATGCCAAATGAATGGGGATTGCTTGTCGTGAAGTGTTGGAATAGCAACATTAGTTTTTACGACTGGGGTAAACTCACTGGGTAAACTGTAGTAACCTTTACTTGAGTTTCATTAATTTCAAACAGACTTGATACGTTATATATGTTCCTCAAGAAAATTACCTTTTGGTTGATGTTGACTCTGTTCTTGCACTGAAGAAAACAGCGCTTTTTGCGGTGAAGATTGAGAGGCAGTTGCATGTAAGCCTATTCGAAACACTTTGCGATTTGCAGGGCTTCGCTGAGAGAGCGAAACAGAATACGGTAATTGCCGTTTGAAATGAAACGATCTGGACGCTCTGAACGCTCTGTTCTTTTGTAGAGTTCTTTACCAAATGAGATAACTGAAATAAATTTAGTGCTTTCCGCTGCCAACAAGAATTGCACACATGATCTGATAAGTGAGACAATTTATTTATATTAACAATGGCAACAACGAAGCACACATTAATGCTAATGTGGTCGCACGACTTCCCTCACGATTTGAAGTTTGAGACTGGTTTTCTGTTGAAATTCGTCCTAATTTGCCTGTTCTGATTTTAGTTAAAAATGAGCACTTGCAAATTTGGCAATTACTGACTGCATTGCTTGCTTTTTTTGAGTTTAAACGCGCAGCCATTTACACATTGTTTCTGTTCTGAATAAGCAGAGAAAACCCCGCAACATTTTAATGCGAGTTTGTTGTTAATATTTGAGTTGCTATCATTGGTTCTTTTTTGACAATTGACGTGTGAATGGGGCGTGTTATGAAAAGGGGCATTTTACAAAATACCGGGTCTTGCTTGCAGGCCCACTATTCTTCCCTTGGGCCTGCACGCGGGCTATTCAGTAGCAGTCATATGTGCCAGTAGCAGTCATATGACTATTCATAGGCTATTCAGTAGCAGTCATATGACTTCAAAGTTGTGCAAAAATAGTCATTTAACCCTGGCAATGCACCCAGATGCGACCTACTTTGCCTGATAATTTTACTCACCAGGGAGAGAGTGCTGCCACTCAATGGGTTAAAGAAGGTAAACATTTTATTGCATGCAGCACTTGGCATTCCTTGGCCAAGTTCCTTGGGTGTGCGATTTGACACCCCAATTTTACCAATGAAAAGGGCATTGGCACACTTTCCCCTCCCTTTGAAGTCTAACTAAACCAAAAATTAAAAGGTTAAAAACTAAAATTCTGTATTGTAAAGTACTATTTGTAAAATAATCTAACTGAACAGCAGCATTATAAGAGGTTAATTAATAAGGATGTTATATATAAAAATGTTGCAATACATTATACAGGCAACCAGAATCCACTGTAATGGTTGACCTACAGTATTAAGGACACTCCAAATTAGACTTCCCATCCACCATCTGCATCTCCTACTTTCCATTATTTGACCTTAGTTTATGACTGAGAATAATGAAAATCCACAGTTTTCATTGTAAATATGTAAAATTTGAAATAAAATTGTTGAAACTTTTATGAAAGAGCATGAATTGTTGTTTTTCTTTGTTTTTACTGTCATACGGTAAGTTGGTAACCGCTGACCTAGATACTTCTGTAACAAGTTTTGATTTTTCAACGTGAAAGATAATAAGATAAAAAAAACACGTGGCTGAATAGATATTCCAAACGCTTTAATATCTATTTCTCGGCACCATAATGGATAATGCACGGAAATGGCCAACCGAACGGGAAACTATTTAAAGTCTAATTTGGAGTGACATGAAGCCAACCACTTTGTCCTTGACAAATAAATTTGTCTGGTGTTGTCCCGAGTATGATAAGAATACGCAAAATAATTGGTTAGCTAGGGTTGGGTAAATTATATACCATGACAATTATCTTGAGTATGTACATGTTTACAAGACAGTATTTACAATCTGTCAGTGGATTTTCGACTTGGTTGAATATTAGTGGTGATTATTGGCAGTTGGTGATATCACCTAATGATGCTTAGCTGCAAAATTTAACTAATATTCATTCATTGCTACATCTTGTACAAATGTCAACTGAAATCTCCCTGGCAATTCACAGCAGTTGTGTAAAATGAATATTTTGATGTTTTGGGCAAACAGAAAGACGTTTACAACGTAAGGACGTTTTCTCGCGAAGATAATAGATATTTTACGTCAAGTAACATTAATTGAACTAAGATTCCTCAGCAAAAGTAGTAATACCAAACGACAGATTTGGTTAACGAGAGTGCCATACTTACATGAAACACCTTTCATGTAAAATTTGTCCATTTGAATTCACCATTCTTTCCTCGGCAGCAAAGCCATCCTCACATAAAGTACACACCGCACCAGTTAAGCCTTTATTTGGCTCTGCCGTGTCATTTTGGACAGGCATTGTGGTGATTTCTTGCGGCAATTTCTTGCCAAACCAACACTAGACTTTTCTACTCTGACAGACTATCAAAACACTGAAGAAGAAAGAATTTTTGCATTCCGGAAACGACGGGTGTTGGCGGGCAAGGAAATTTCATATGGTATGCAAACTTCAAATTCCTTGAAATTTGCATAACATATCAGTGATATTATTAATTGTGATAAAATGATATTATCACACAGTATCACGTTTATTTATTTCAAAACATTTTTCTAAGATTAGCACTGATATAAGTTTGTCCTTTCAGACAAAATTCTGGCAAAATCAATAAATAAGTCCAGTGTTCTTGACCGCATTTCTTTGTAGACTTTTCAAGGAGATTTTAAGGAAATTTTAAGGAAATCTTGAAAGGAAGTAAAAAGTTAAACTCTCTTGAACTGATTGCAACAAATTGCAACAGAAATCATCCGAAGTTCTGCGCGAAAGTTTAGTTGGAATATTTTGCAACACTGCACGGAGAGGAAGAAAACAGGTAGAGAACAGTGTTTAATAGGTATAGAATGACATGGCTTTAATAATAATTTATAATAGGTATACATGTGGTTCCCAAAGGCGCGGCAGGAATTTATTTATAATTGTAACACGTATATTATTAATATTTGTCCCTAAATTATGCACCGCCACCCTACTTTATTATTTTACTCTGACTAATGCACCTATCACTGTTAACCCCAAGGGTGGTGGTGGGGGTGGGGGGTGGTTGGTCGAGCAAGGGTATATCGTATCTGTATGACAAAACGTGTCACTTTGCCGCCCTTATTAGTCTGCACCCAGGCCTCGAAATATTAGTGCCGGTCACCGGTCAAATTTCACAGTTTGACCGGCAAATATCGCCTGCGGACATGCGTGACCAGTAAATTTTTTTTAATAAAAAAAGTATGTTCAAAAATGGAGCAGATTTTTTATTTCCAATTTTCCAAAGAAGTGTATGCATGTCTGTCTACGCTGCAGTCTAGTTAACCAATTATATAGTTGCAAGGTCCTTGTCCGGTTGTCCCACTGGGTCATTTCCCTTACCTCAGAAAAATTGCAGAGATAAAAAAGGATGCCGACAGGCTTAACCCATATATTGAGAAACATCTAATTTGGGGTCGCCATTCAGAAACGTTTGTCCATAGGGCCTGATAGGGGAATGGACCACTGCACCATGCATAAATTTATATACTTCATTAATTTACTAGCTGTCTATAATGCCAGACAATTTTACCCATCAAGGGAATATTAGTTGGCAACAGTGGCGTAGCCAGTAGAGGTGTGCATCGGATCGGATTGGACGTTTATAATCCGACAATTGCCCAATGTTTAAAATCTGATCCAATCCA